GGATTACGAATACACCTGACTTAAACAGACATCTAAATTACACACACCTAGCTTACACAGACACCTGACTTACACAGTCTCCTGACTTACACAGACACCTGACTTACACATGCACCTAACGCACACAGACACCTAACTTACACAGACACCTGACTTACTCATACACCTAACTCGAACAGACACCTTACTCACACAGACACCTAATTTACACAGACACCTGACTTACACAGACACCTGACTTACACATACACCTAACTCACACAGACACCTGACTTACACATACACCTGACTTACACAGACACCTGACTTACACATACACCTAACTCACACAGACACCTGACTTACACATACACCTGACTTACACAGACACCTGACTTACACATACACCTAACTCACACAGACACCTGACTTACACATACACCTGACTTACACAGACACCTGACTTACACATACACCTAACTCACACAGACACCTGACTTACACATACACCTGACTTACACAGACACCTGACTTACACATACACCTAACTCACACAGACACCTGACTTACACATACACCTGACTTACACAGACACCTGACTTACACATACACCTAACTCACACAGACACCTGACTTACACATACACCTGACTTACACAGACACCTGACTTACACATACACCTAACTCACACAGACACCTGACTTACACATACACCTGACTTACACAGACACCTGACTTACACATACACCTAACTCACACAGACACCTGACTTACACATACACCTGACTTACACAGACACCTGACTTACACATACACCTAACTCACACAGACACCTGACTTACACATACACCTAACTCACACAGACACCTGACTTACACAGACACCTGACTTACACAGACACCTGACTTACACAGACACCTGACTTACACAGACACCTGACTTACACAGACACCTGACTTACACAGACACCTGACTTACACAGACACCTGACTTACACAGACACCTGACTTACACAGACACCTGACTTACACAGACACCTGACTTACACAGACACCTGACTTACACAGACACCTGACTTACACAGACACCTGACTTACACAGACACCTGACTTACACAGACACCTGACTTACACAGACACCTGACTTACACAGACACCTGACTTACACAGACACCTGACTTACACAGACACCTGACTTACACAGACACCTGACTTACACAGACACCTGACTTACACAGACACCTGACTTACACAGACACCTGACTTACACAGACACCTGACTTACACAGACACCTGACTTACACAGACACCTGACTTACACAGACACCTGACTTACACAGACACCTGACTTACACAGACACCTGACTTACACAGACACCTGACTTACACAGACACCTGACTTACACAGACACCTGACTTACACAGACACCTGACTTACACAGACACCTGACTTACACAGACACCTGACTCACACAGACACCTGACTTACACATACACCTGACTTACACAGACACCTGACTTACACATACACCTAACTCACACAGACACCTGACTTACACATACACCTGACTTACACAGACACCTGACTTACACATACACCTAACTCACACAGACACCTGACTTACACATACACCTGACTTACACAGACACCTGACTTACACATACACCTAACTCACACAGACACCTGACTTACACATACACCTGACTTACACAGACACCTGACTTACACATACACCTAACTCACACAGACACCTGACTTACACATACACCTGACTTACACAGACACCTGACTTACACATACACCTAACTCACACAGACACCTGACTTACACATACACCTGACTTACACAGACACCTGACTTACACATACACCTAACTCACACAGACACCTGACTTACACATACACCTGACTTACACAGACACCTGACTTACACATACACCTAACTCACACAGACACCTGACTTACACATACACCTGACTTACACAGACACCTGACTTACACATACACCTAACTCACACAGACACCTGACTTACACATACACCTGACTTACACAGACACCTGACTTACACATACACCTAACTCACACAGACACCTGACTTACACATACACCTGACTTACACAGACACCTGACTTACACATACACCTAACTCACACAGACACCTGACTTACACATACACCTGACTTACACAGACACCTGACTTACACATACACCTAACTCACACAGACACCTGACTTACACATACACCTGACTTACACAGACACCTGACTTACACATACACCTAACTCACACAGACACCTGACTTACACATACACCTGACTTACACAGACACCTGACTTACACATACACCTAACTCACACAGACACCTGACTTACACATACACCTAACTCACACAGACACCTAACTCACACAGACACCTAACTTACACAGACACCTGACTTACACAGACACCTGACTTACACAGACACCTAACTTACACAGACACCTGACTTACACATACACCTAACTCACACAGACACCTGACTTACACATACACCTAACTCATACAGACACCTGACTTACACAGACACCTGACTTACACAGTCACCTGACTTACACAGACACCTGACTTACACATACACATAACTCACACAGACACCTGACTTACCTGAATTCTTTCCCGCATTCACATTTGAATATCGCCCATCCCCACATCATTTCTTTAGGTACAGGGTCATACTTGGTCTTGCAGAGTTTGCATTTCGACACCTAAATAATGAATAAACATTTTAGTAGTTTGTTTTAATTATTCATTTGTTCATGGCAACTATTTACCAGGTTCAAAAAACATTTCTTGGGTAAACTAGCTGATACGACTTGGATTTAAGTCGAAAAAGTTTTGTCCTGTTTTGATAAATGATCCCCGACCCTCTGCTCCATAGGAGAGACATATCCTCAACACTGAATCAATACATCTAGAAATACTCTACACGCCTTTATGGGTCCATGGCTAAACTGTCAAAATTCCTTCAGCTGTCCAGAAATCTATTTTAAATGAAAAGTTACAGACAGACTTAGAGGGATTGGTCGATATATAACATTGGGGACTAAACGCCATGTCATCTGTATGTATTACCGGTTTGTTGATAGGCACTGTCCGCCACCAGACCTGGTCACATGGAGAACAGGAAAACTGTCTCATGTCGGTCGTCAAACCTTTGGTTACAGACCGAACCAAGTCCTCATCTTTCTGGATTTCTGAAGTCTCGTTCTGGATTAAATTTGAAGAGATATGTTAAGTATTCTTATTAAAATGGAAAAACATGTTTTCTCTATTGCAGGAAATGGTATTATATATATATATATATATATTTATTTTTTCATTTATATTGCCACTAATATACAGGTCAGCTGGACTGATGGTATTCCAATTCCTTGGCATGGTTCTCTCTCAACAAAATAATGCAAATATTATTATGAAAATCTAGGTCAGAACAAAATATAATCATTACCCCCGAAAGTCGCTGTATCAGTTTACGAACGTCACGTGGTTCACCTGTAAAACAAAACATTCCCTTTCTGTGTGAATGCTTTGATAGATCAACATCTGATATAGGTTTTATGTCGGATGATTTCAATATATATCATATCAACGATGAGATGCTGGTATATAAGAATTTTCAAAACCAAGCAAGTGGTAGTAAATATTTATGATCCTTGACTTTGTTTGTTACCTTGACCTTTGACTTTGGCCTCTGTGACCTTTATACCTTAGTGTATGAGTTGGGTGTACTTACTTTCCTGTATGAAGTTAATTGTCTCCCTTTCGTCCCAGTCGTGGTGTTTCAGTAAACACGTTGCCTCTGCCTGGTTGTATCTATCACCGTATAACTTGTGCAAGGTCGAAACCTACATAATGAATGGTAAAAGCAGTGCCAGTTAAGATATTTTTTTCTTTTGAACAACAAAATAATAACTGTAAAAAACGAAATAAAATATATAAAACACGTGAAAGCTTAAATTGAATTATGATGTATTACGACTACTAAAATCCACTTAGAGTAAGTCTAGTGCGTTTGGTCGGCGTTACATTGCAATCCTAACTTTTGGAGTTGTCGCCCTTTAAATAGCAGTTGATACGATACTGTGGTGAATTTTACATGACAATGAAAGTTGGGGTTTCGAGCGACAAATTTAAAAAAAACTATAGAATTATCCCTAATTTCCTTTCACGTGTCCACCTCTATGATTCTTTAACTTGTATATCAAGCACTAAATTTCATTATCTTTACTCGTAGTGCTTATTTAATGCGCTGCTGTGAATTGGTTTTACCCACTTTCGTTTTCCTTTCGTAGAAATGAACTACTTCCTCTTTCAATCTTTTTTTTGGAAATCAGAAATTATAACAAGCCGATCGAATGCGAAAAGGAAATGAATTCTTATGGATATTTCTGTAAATAGATACATGAAACAAATGAATAATGTCAGCTTGCCTAGACTAGGCTACTATGATTATACTGTTTGCTCTGTCGACTTGATACGTAAAATGGTTACTTTTAGCTACGAATGTACGTTACACAACACATGGAACAACACACGTAGCCTTTACAGATATAAAGTAAAGTGTGTTACTCATAGTGAATACATTACATCGCCTCTGGTCAATAACCTCGTTGTCAGGATGATTGGACTAGGTAGTGCTACATTGTGTATGATCGTTTCAGAGAGTTACAGCTTTAAAATAAAGATCGGACAATCTACTTCAGGACTGAACCTACCTTTGCTTGTCTCTGGATATCGGCCATACTTGGGTATCAGCAACAATCAGCGTCTTATTAGTTCCTGCAAGGGACGTAATTCTGTTTTACCATGTACAATGTGTAATGAAATGTCCTCATGCGTTTTGGTTCAAGAACATGCAGATGAGACAAGAAATGGGTTTCTTATCGACATTAACACATAAAAAGGTTAAATATTAACTCTTTTCTCATACATCTATACTCTTTTCTCCAACTTTCAAGTTTACACAATTCATATTCTTATTTGAACTAAATCAGAATTTTATAATAACTTTTATTTTCTATGAAATGAAATAGGCCTATTGAACCGATTCCAGTTTATATTCACAGTCAATATTTTACATGAAATTCTATGGACTTCACTTTTAGTATGTGTCAACCTCCAGTGTTAGCATTATAAACAATTGATATCACAACACAATGTTACATGTATACATCATGTACAATGCCAACTCCGAGTACGAGCCATTTTGGTTCATATGTATCATTGGTTGATATCCACAGTGTTCAATAGCTACAAGGTGAAGGCTGTTATAAGTTTCATTTTATTTATTTATTCATTAATTTATTTTTCATTCTGTTTGCTTATAACTCTTGTTACAATAAACTGAAATGGTGTGGCTGTACCATAATGCCGGAGAAGCTGAGATGAAGTAGACCGTAGGTACATGTATAATATGTATGCGCAGCAGTACGTTGTTAACCCCTTAACTCTACTCTACTTCATCTGTTTGAAGTTTATATTTTCTAACAAAATAATTCTAACGAAGTCGAAATGTTGTCCGACAAGAAAAACACTCGGATACTGAATAGACTGTTGTACCGATAACGTGGGAGGGAGTCTATGGGGCGATAAACATTGTGTTGTTGGGTGTTGCATGACAATCATGCCCTATAAAAAAAAAAGATAAATCGTATAAAACTAAAGCATAGACCATAGTGGATTACAGTCTTCGATTACACTAGCTTTTGGCAGCGAGGACTGTAGTGGACTACAGTCTACGATTACATTAGCATGTGGCAGCGAGGACTGTAGTGGACTACAGTCTACGATTACACTAGCTTGTGGCAGCGAGGACTGTAGTGGATTACAGTCTACGATTAACCTAACTTGTGGCAGCGAGGACTGTAGTGGATTACAGTCTACGATTACCCTAGCGTTTGGCAGCGAGGACTGTAGTGGATTACAGTCTACGATTACACTAGCTTGTGGCAGCGAGGACTGTAGTGGACTACCGTTTACGATTACCCTAGATTGTGGCAGCGAGGACTGTAGTGGACTACAGTCTACGATTACAATAGTTTGTGGCAGCGAGGCCTGTAGTGGATTACAGTCTACGATTACACTAGCTTGTGGCAGCGAGGGCTGTAGTGGACTACAGTCTACGATGACACTAGCTTGTGGCAGCGAGGACTGTAGTGGACTACCGTTTACGATTACCCTAGATTGTGGCAGCGAGGACTGTAGTGGACTACAGTCTACGATTATCCTAGCTTGTGGCAGCGAGGGCTGTAGTGGACTACAGTCTACGATGACACTAGCTTGTGGCAGCGAGGACTGTAGTGGACTGCAGTCTACGATTACCCTAGCTTGTGGCAGCGAGGGCTGTAGTGGACTACAGTCTACGATGACACTAGCTTGTGGCAGCGAGGACTGTAGTGGACTACAGTTTACGATTACCCTAGCTTGGGGCAGAGAGGACTGGAGTGGACTACAGTCTACGATTACACTAGCTTGTGGTAGCGAGGACTGTAGTGGATTACAGTCTACGATTACACTACCATGTGGCAGCGAGGACTGTAGTGGACTACAGTCTACGATTACACTAGTTTGTGGCAGCGAGGCCTGTAGTGGATTACAGTCTACGATTACACTAGCTTGTGTCAGCGAGGACTGTAGTGGACTACATTTTACGATTACACTAGTTTATGGCAGCGAGGACTGTAGTGGACAACAGTCTAAGAATACCCTAGTTTGTGGCGGCGAGGACTTTCACGAGCGATATGTCTTAAAGCGATTATTTAAGCATTGAACTGTTTTTGTATGGTATTTATGATCTATTTGAATGACACAGCTTTGCAAGCAAACAACATAATGCGCGCTAGTTTAATATTTTTTTAACTTATAATTTATATTTAAAATTCAAAATGCCCGCCTTATCGATAGTCCACAAAATTTCGTTCAATAGTTTGAATAGCGTGTTTGTCGCGTGCTGATTGGCAAACAAAGTAGTACTTTGAAATTTTAACAAACACTTCAATGTTATTCCATAATTCAGTATCAATACAATTGCGTATGATATGTCTATAGGGCCGGTGATTTAAGTTTATCAATAGAACTCTGGGCTGAAAGTCAGATTTGAAATTGTTTCGATTTTTCTCCGGAACAAATTTAGCGCATGGATAAATACAGTGAACACCGTAAATCCGACCTTGCCCTCCACGAGGGAGTTATTTTTGGAAGTTAATTCGAACTTTTCTCTTTGGTCATTTTGTGAAGAATCCAGACGTGAATTTATTTGTTGATTGTATGGGAATCTGACTACAGTCTGTAGATTCTATAACAGCCTCGTTATTTGACATGTCGTCAGAAACTGAGGAAACAGTGGCTGCGAGACGCGTTTGAAGTGAGTGATCTTGCGACGGAGCACAGGGGTTCATTACAAATGTCTGAAATGTTTATGTGTGCTGTGACTCATATCAGTAGGTCTGTAATATATGTGTCAGTAGGTCTATAGAATATGTGTATTTCGGTACATTTGTAACGAACGCCTGTTGATCAGTGCAGTGTAACGGACGATATTTTTGATAAATTGCATGAGCGTTAAAATTGTTTCCATTGCCGGCATTGGTGATTTCAACCGATGTGCATTTTGTATGATATTGCAGACCTTGGTCTTGTTTTTGTTGTAATAAAATTATTTTTTATTTTAGTTTTTATTTTGCACATAAATTTACAATGACATTGTCAAATCTCACAATGCCTAGCGATATTTCAGCAGCCGTCATGTTAATTTGCATGGGATATTGTAGTTCCGGTCAGTGTTGTATTAATATGCTAAGAATTTTGTCTCGTGCTGCTTGGTAATTAAAGTCCCATCAACGACACAGCTTCCAAAGAGGCTATATTGTGACAATGCCATGCAAATATAAATATAAGGTATATATATATATGACATTTTTTGCTATTTTTTATCGCTATCATTGTTTCATTTGTATTTCAAAAATTTGATTTCGTTCGTATACTTATTTTAAGTACAGTTTCTTCCTACATTGTACTTTCACTTTTATTTCGGATAGTACAACTGCATTTTCTATCAGTCTTGGTTTTAGAAATCATATAACTATTTTTAGATTTTTTGTATTGGAGAACTTTTACCATGTCTCAGTTTTGTAGAATATATCACAAATATCTTTCAATGTTCACATGTACAACGTACACCAGCCAATTAAATAATGTCTGCCTGTGTTACCGTATAAACCGATTTACCTACTTTCGCTTTCCTTTCGGAGAATATACATGTTGTTACTTTTCCTTTCAGTCTTGTAATTACAAATCAGAGAGCCATTTCGTCATTTCGTTTTAAACAAACTGTAACTTTGCAGAATAAACACGCCAATAAAATGACTCCCTATATCACGTGTTTCTATTCCAAGTCAAGTAAGCCAAACAAAACAAATACATACATCTGTTAAGGCCAGACGGTAAGGTATATATATCACAATTATTGGTGTAATTATTTTGGATAGAGCACTTTTGGCTATCTGGATGTCAGAACAATGTGACTAACTTCAGAAAAGTAGTGCCACCATCTTCTGTACCGTCATCATACGACCTCCTAGAGGATCTCTATATTAATTACACCACGACCTTACTTACCAGGGTCTGCTCCTTCATATCGTCCACACCCTAGACAGGCAGTCCAATGTCTATTTCGGAATACCCAATACACATATCGTCCACACCCTAGACAGGCAGTCCAATGTCTATCTCGGAATACCCAATACACATATCGTTTGTGTATCAGTTATAATAGTCGGTGACATAATCGCTAACAACGCATGCGCTTAAACAATGGCCAAATGCCAAGATTCCTTGTTAAACTGAAACTAGTATTTTTACCTGGAATAAGAAGTCTGAATATGGTTTCAAAATTAAACATGTCCTGTTGTGGATCATTTCCAAGGAAATGTAGTTATATCATTTTTTTTAATTTGACAATTTGTTAAAACTTCACGGTCAGTTATGCATTTAATTAGAATAAAGACAAAATGCATGCTTTCATACATATTTTCAGACTACACGTATTTCATATTAATATATAAGCGATTTATTGTGATGTGATAGAATATTTCAGTTAGATGGAACGTTTTGTTATAAGGATGATAATGACATCGAATTGAAAAAGGTAGGCTGAGTGATTAACCTAAACGTAGAGGCAAATCCGGATTCAACCCACTTCAAACTAAAGCAACAACACATTTGCAGCTTTCCGCTGCATTAAGTATTGTGGGTGAAAAAGTGGATAGAAAAATTTAAAGTCAACACTATTTTTTGATAGTTTTTAAATACACTATTTAATCATCCTTGTTTATGGTGGCTGATACTGATATTCAAAGTCATTACATGTTGTTTATGGTGGTTGATACTGATAGTCAGAATCATTACATGTTGTTTATGGTGGTTGATACTGATAGTCAGAGTCATTACATGTTGTTTATGGTGGCTGATACGTTACTGATAGTCAAAATCATTACATGTTGTTTATGGTGGTTGATACTGATAGTCAAAATCATTACATGTTGTTTATGGTGGTTGATACTGATAGTCAAAGTCATTACATGATGATTATTGTAATGTATCCAAGTGCTCAGTGACGAGATTATAGAGTACAGCTATAAACAAGGATACAATGCAATTCGATAACAGCGTATTATAATTGAGATTTGTATATAAACACAATAGGAGTCCTACCAATATAACATTGAATAACTATATATATTCAACTAATTAGATTTCAACTGAGAAGAATTAACAGTTGGTGGAAAATGGGGAAAATGAGCTGGTACTAAAGTGTTTATACAGGTCGAGCAGTAGATAGTACGCTGACAAGTTTGATACATGGAAGTGTAAAGGAAGGCGGTATGCTGGTGTATGTATACAGGTCGGACATCTAGTTTGTTTACATTGGTAACTCTACTTTCAGTTTATACTGTTTTCTTCTTGGTTGTCACCCTCGATTAACAATACATGTTCGAACATAAAATCAGATGAACAATATGCTACATTTACTGTCTAGGACAGGAATGTTCACAGTTTGAAAATAACCCCAACATTTTAGTTATATATACGTTATGTATAGGTTTGAATACGAATTAAGTACATATAAGGAAATCAAAGTACTGAAAGTACTGAAAGCTAAGGCAAAAGATATATATATTATTTTTGGAATTGAGAACAAAATAAAGACGAAGTTCCCATCATACTGTACAGAAGGATTTACTGTTAATTTGTTATGAATCAAAGTTTTATGTAAAAGTGTACCACTGTGAAGTTATTCTTCTTGTGTGTACAGTATATCTTTATAGGTTTGTCAGAAGAGTGGTACCAAGTTTCCTCTAGAATATATCATTTTAAACCTTTGGATAATTAATTTGCATAGGAATTTGGAATTGCTTCCCTTTGTCCATACAATGTATTTCATAGAACATTAAAAACTGAAACTGGCATTTACCCCTTTGACCAATACCTGATTATTTTAAACCATTGAATAGATTATGCACAGATTGTGAACATCTTTGAACTTTGCCTTTGTTGTTGAATAAGATATCAACCCTTGCCTTATCTAACAAAGTTACTTGGCATAAAACCATTGACCAATCAGAGTACAGTATGCTAATTAATTAGGCATGGATTTCACTCAACTTTGAACTTATCGTCTAAGTTTGTATATTGATCAATATATATTCAAGCAAGTTATCTTGTAAAGTGTGCACATCGACCAGGGTTGGCATGCTTTTTAATACGTGTGAATTTTGTTCAAGTTTCAATTTTGCATCAGTCAGTGTATATTGTTACAGAACAATATTTATAAGGATGTTTACTTGCCGAAACTAAATTGTGGATAAGCAAGTGGATTACTGCTACCCATAAATTTACAAGTCTCTCAATAATTTTGAAAAACTTTTAAATAAAGTGTTTTACATATTCACTGCAGTGAAAAGGTCTCTTCTTATGAAAAATGGAACTATTTTGAATCTGTGTTCCCATGAACAAATAATATAAAAAGCACTCTAATTCAATATGATACATTGTTGTATGTTTCAATATTGAATAAGATAAACAAAATATAAACATACATACTCACACACACACACAAGATTAGGAGAGTTACATTATTTTCCCTCTATTTCCATTGCATAAATTCTTCACAAAGAAAACAACAACTTTATAGCATATGTTCAGCTTTATCATCTTCATAGGCTAGCATTTGAAATAAGATGCACATATTAATTTCAAATACATTTCAAAAGAGTACTGCAAATGTACCAGCTAGAACACATACTATGTTATTACAGTTGTCATGATTGTTGGTTTCAGAACTGATAGCATTGTGCAACAAATGTTGACAACAGGACTTATTGAAAGTTGAGGTTGCTTGTGTATATGCAAACAGGTAGTGCATGATTTAATGTTGAGAATGATGGATCAAGGTTTATAAAATTTGGTTTGAATACTTAGTTAGGAATGCACTGACAATTTCTCTGTCACATGTACATGAACAGGTTGTGAAGCTGTAGCCTTCACCTTGACTGAATGAAATTGACCTTAAAACTGTCTTGAACAATTGATGTATGAAATTTAGAAATGAAGTTTCAAGAAATATGGTTGAAAACTTAAGAAATAATTGCTTTCATTGACATTGATACAATCTTGTGTGCTATCCCTCTCATATATCACACAAGATTTAATATCAAATGTTGGACACAGTAAAATCGAGCGAAGTTAACAAATATCAAGTTACATATTATAACTTTTATTTTATTTTATTGATATTGATCATAAGCATTGTTAAAAGTACAATGTATACCAGGGATCTTACATTTCTTTTACTACTTAACATTTGCGTTGACTTTTAATTCATTGGACAAAAACTAAAAGGAAGCCATGACCAGTATTTCTATCTTTAAAAACATACTTTTAATTTTTTTTCCAATTTGCTCCCACCACCCATAGTGTTATATTGATCAAAACAAACGTTGTTTCCAACATTTGTGCCCTTAGTCAGTAGTGGGTGTTCAATCACATTCATCAGGGTTTCAGCATCAAGTAGGGGCTGTTCAATCACATTCATCAGGCTTTCAGCATCAATATTCACAGATTCAATCTGTTCCAAGTAAAGATCACTGACTTCTCCATTAAGGAAAAGTTTGCGAGGAAAGCATTTGAACTACATTTGAACTATTCGCTGATGGAAGGATCTGTGGACTCGGCTTTCATGTGTCTGAGAGAAAATGATTTAGTCAGAGGTTCCTCCTCTATAAAGTAACTGACAGATTTCAAAATGTCATGTCACTGTTGGTATAGTTCTTGCAGCCTTTTGAAAAAGTTCATGAAGTCCTCAAAGGTATGAGAGAGTTGGTACAGTTCCTATTTCTCATCCTCCTTTCTCCCATCAATAACCATCCCTGTCTGTTGTAATATTGATTGCTTTCCCCCCCTAAAATAGAACATAGTTACCATATAATTTCTGCACCAGCAATAATGTTTAGAGATGATATTCAAACAAATAGGAGGCATAGCAATATGAGCTTGTATAGTGAGAAATAAGGCATTAAAGCTGAGGAGTTCATTAAAATGTTTCAAAAACATTTCAATAAGTCAATCTCTTTGGTAGCAGAACTAAATATAAACAAAATGTACATTAAATTCAACTTATAACAGCACATCATATGGGGGCTTAAGACATCTAATTCCTTAGGTGGTAAAACATGTGTACATAAAAAGGTACCAGTAAAAACAAAACAAAATTAGTTTAAACACACGCACTTAGATATTCACGGTTTTCATTAATACAAAAGATGAAGCAGAACATCACTCTCCCCTGGTTGTTTCCATAAAGAAGAAATTAACCAGGAAACATGGAGATGTCCATTGCACTCCTTTATTTTGCTTACAATGTGCAAATGTGCCTACTATGTGCTAATAAGCTTTCCATGTTATGGTTTTGTTTTTTATGTGCTGTATGCAAATGTTCTAAATGTGCTTAAATTACCATGTGCTGATGTGCTTACCGTGTTCAATGTGCCTATTAAGTGCTTTCCAAGTGATAAACTCTTTTTCTGAGCTTACAGTATACTACATGTACATACATGTTTTTATTTTATTTTTCCATGTTGTAATATTTTGGTCTCTGTTATTATACTCATGTTTTGTCTTTGTAGCTTATGTTGTATGTTTTGCAAAATGGACGTAAAATATATATTTTTGTATCTTGTACGTGCTCAAGGATTTTATCTGTAGTTTTTGGGACTATATATAGAAAAACTTTACCCCAGTATGAGGAATTGTTTTACACATTTATCATAAAACAAGTTATGTTCAGATTTCAGACAGAAGATACTCTAAAATTGTACAACTCAGAAAAGGTTGAAAAATATTTATAGTTCATTTTTTTCTGCTTAGAAATATTTAATCTCTAAATTACAAATGATAACTGTTTTAACAGGTCTAGTTTCCGAATTGGAAACCAAACCCTGTCTGACCTATAAATGATCATTATATAAGGCCAATTAAAAGTTTAAAACAAATATTGAGTTTATGCTAACCCCACAGATACTGGACACACTAATAGTAATATGATGTGTATAAACTATGATATATTATACACACTATACTTATTGGTGTGTTCGACACCAGTGTGGTTAACCAGACTTATCTCAGATTTGTGTTCTACAATACCCTTAAGTTTTTATATGCACTGTTAAAGTCAGAACTCCTGCTCTATATTAGCGCAGTAAAGATATTTTTCAAATTAA